CATTTAAAGCACACCAAAACATAATTCCATTTCATTTAAAAAGTGGATCTTCATGGCCTCTGCTCATAAATACACAGATGGTATATACAATTATATGGTTAATAAAACAACGTTATCATCAGAATTGTTGTATGGCATGATATCAATTTGATCATGTACACCTGAACTGAATGCTACAGATATTATAAATGTTCCTATTAAAACAACCGAAACTTAACCCGCATAAATTTAAGTCTAAGCTTAGCTTTGAAAATTGAGCCTACACAATAGGAATATTTCGATATGCAACTACATAATATTATCCACACTATAGTACCAGCATGATACAATTTCTGAGTAGATAACGTGTGGCCTAGATAAAAACGTATGTGTTCATGGAATAGGTCTGTAACTCTGTATTGTTATAGAATATCAATAGTGGCTCTGTATCATGAAGAAAACCAATGGAGCATTCAGTCATTTCAAAGAACTCATGAACCAATGGTTATTGAGAACGTTCATTCAAGCGTGTACAATAGAACACATGGAGTTACTAGTAACTCCATGAATAGGATGACAGAGAATGGAGTGAGAGTGTTTTGTCTGGGGGGGGGGGGGGGGCTTTTGGACAACTGAATTAGCCTTTGTCATTGCCTGCTCACTGTATTATTCGATGCGTTCCAAGAGCTTCTATCCATAGAAATGACTAACCCCATTGGCCTTTAGAGGGGAACACCTATAGTCTAGATTGGCTATAGCCATCTGAAGGGAACTCCTTTCACTCTTAATCACCATGTATACAAGGTTGTACTGAGAATATCTTCAAAGCCTTTGTTTATTCTTTCCCTGAAAATCCTAAATTCCTTGCGATTAAAAGTTGAATCGGTCATCTCATCTAAGATAGTTAAGCCCTTAATAATATTCAAACATTGTAACTATGTGGACAAATGATTTACTATGAAATCTCACGTAATCGCTATTTTAATGCTTTTTTAAAATTGACATGAAGAAGAAAAAAAATTAAATTAATTTAATGGGCTCGAATAAGTGCCATGATATGGAAACAACACATTCTGTGTACAGACTTTGGCCTTTTTATAAAGAAATTCATGCGACTTGAAAATTTCCCCTCCTCCATGCATGTTTACGGAAATAACTACTTAAAGATCAAATTCCATCTCAAACACACTGAGCGATAATCTTCACAGACATACTGAGTATGTAATCATATACATGTACAATGTATTTATGTATCGGTGTACTTCTATATCTAGAATACGTAAGTGAAACAATTGCTTTTCCTGATGAAACTAAAATAGCAATGTAAATATAAACTACATGTATGTCAGTACATTTACTTCCTTTACAATGTCCTTGGAAAACGTATACTTTCTGGTATTTAAAGGATCCACATATCATGTAGGTTAAACGCAATACAAACCTAAAAATACAGACCTAGTTCTAATAATGTATCTTTTAAAATAACAATGTTTATTGTTAGCTTTCAGAGAAGCTTTATTATGATGTGCTTTAAACTTGCAGATTTGACGTTATGCAACGGGTCATTTTTCTATCAAATCATTTTTTGCTTATTCGAGATGCATTGCATTTGTACATAATTTGATTTACACCTCTCTTATTAAGATGAATTTTATTATTACTAATTTCTTCGCAGATTCCTTGTGTGATTCTTAAAAGTGGTTTCTTTTTTACATAAAGACGTGAAACTGTATAAACTTAGAATACTGAATTACAAGAATTGTTTATGACTTTACTTTAGGAAAGATTGAAATTCATCACAATCGTAATAACGTATTCTATAACTCTAAACATACAACCCGAGGGCTTGACTAAACAATTATAGAGAACATTTGTTTTGAAGCACCCTATACATTCCACTTTGCTGGCATACCTTGACTTCGCTACCCTAGCAGCGGGGATTATGTATACATATGATTCATACAAATAGAGAGAGAACCGCCAAAAAATGTGTGTGACACACAGCCCAGACGAGGCCCCTCTATACAAGTTACTGTCTAAAAGTTGGTGGTCTTGGCAACGAAATAAACCCGCATGGGTAAACAACAAAGCGAAAAGCCTGGGAAACCATGGTGCTCGTTTTTGTTACTGTTCCTCTGCAAAGTTTTGCAAGTTTTGCAAGCGAGGCATGATCTAGATCTCGATCGATAAGAGTCTGATTTCTTTGTTTTTTGTAATCTTAAATATCAGAATTATGAATATAGACATTTACTTCGATTTTATATATGTTAAACTATTTCTTTTTATATCCAACATTGTTGTATTGACAGGATTACTGAACTAAAACTAATGCTTCTACAGGAACGTTGCATAAATGCTTAAGATGTGTCTTACGTTATTGGAGCCTTCTTGCTATCATAACAAAGTAAATGTAATGTGATTAAATGAACGATCTACAAAGAAGAAAAAAATTCGTGTCCCCATGTTGTTTATGATCAATTTTCTATTTCTATTTTAAAGAATATAACATTTTGCACTGGCCCATAATACATAAACAATGTAGAGTCATATTTTTATCATATCGTATTTCTTTAACTCAGTAAAGAATTATGAATTTATCATGACGAGACTAAAATTAGTAAGATGAGCCTCTTTTTAAGATCCCCTGTAAAAAAAATCACTCAGTGCTTATAAATTCCAAATAAACTAGAAAGGAATATGGCTTTTAACGATTCGGGGTTCATAAACTATTATATATGCATTGCTCATTTTTGCGTAATGATAAGTTGCATGTATTTATATATTATTTTTAACGAGGGTAGTTGTCCAAAATATACTTGGATACGAATATGTGATCGGGACCCTGCCATACCCCCTTTTTCATTATTCCCTTCCATAATATTAATTTCTGCTTCATTATTCTAATTGTAGTTGTCATTATACACATCACATCACAAACCAAAGACAATGATTCTCTACCACTGAATTATACAGAATTTCCTAACATAACATTTCCAATGGCTGAATGGCTATAGTTTGTACGTGAAATACAGTTACAAATTGACGGGCAAATTGATCGTATGTATATACAGCTCAAATCGCACAGTAAATTGTGCAGACGACACAGGCGAGAATATACGTATACTGCGGCTGTTATAACGGTACACAAGAATCATTTACATTCATCCAGATTCATGCACATTATTGCAATTTCGAACGTTCAGGCTTTCCGTTTTTGGAAAAAGAATGCGTTCCTGAGCACAATTTACAGGAATTAAGAAAGAATATCGGTTTATAAAATCACAAATGACAACACTTACCACATGCACTGTTCACTCGCTGGCGGAGTTGTACACATGTAAAGTGCTCATAATATTGGCTCGTATATCTTGCAGTGGAACAAAGTCATTATGTAGTAACGGTATGAATATTCGCAGATTTTACCAAAATAGTATATCAGTTTAGCCTTTTCTTCTCGCTTATAACGGTAGGCTTGAGGTGACAAAATATTAGATAGCAGAGTATATTTACTACAGGGCTACTATATTGAGGCGATAACCTTGTTGGGGTGGCCAAGATAAAACGTAAAAAGGGAAACGAAAAAAGGAAAGATCCTCTCGCACAGGCTTCGGTTCTCAACTCACTACTTTCTACACAATACATGCAAGCCGCAAGAACGGTACTCACACGGGGCCATGGGGTTACATAGCTTAGCATACTACGGTACAGTTAATGAGATCGGAATTAATCTCATCGTAATAACAATTCGGCAAGGTTCGGCTCTCATTGGAATGCCAATAGTAAATATTTACTCCGTTGCCACCCCTGTTGATGATCCCTCCCCCCTTTTGGGAAGTTTTCGGGACGTCTCGTCTACTTGAAAAACCCATTCGGCAAATTTCGGCAACCCAGATAGGCGTGGCTAATGCAAAACAGACGGAAGTAATTCAATGCACTGATTGTGTGTGCTTTCAGCTGCTGTCCATATTTGGAGTGTGTCGGAAGTGCCGAACCCAGTAGGCGGGGCCAACACAAAGACGTGTTCTATCTGTTCGGCTCGCAGGGAAATGTGTGTGTAGACGGTAATATACCTTCCTTTTGATAACATTTATATCAATTTTAGTACCTCATACAGACTTAAAATATGTTTTTACATCATTAAATGTGATTAAAATACCTCTGATTACACTTTGACGTGACCATTGTGATATTGCTACGCCCGTAGTATATCTTGTCACCCCTACTACTAGAATGTAGTATTCCAAAATCTTTAGATTGTTGCTAGGTACTGTTTGACGTCAATGTGCGTCATTGTACCATGTGACTGAAACGTCATAGGCTCTTCCCTAATTTGGCCGAGGATTCTCATGAATGAAATCGAATAAAAATACTTGCAGCTCGACTCTTCGGCATTCGACAGTTCGGATTTACTCGACTCCGCATCGGTAAAACTCGTAACACTGGCAGTGTTTAAGCGTCTTTTACTCATTGAAGTTAGTGTCACAAGACATAGTGACATTTACTTGAGCAAATTTCGACGATCACTTGATCGACCCACACTCACCTCAGATTTTGTTCAGACGTATGAGTAAGAAGTCCAAGGAATCAATCGACATGCGTATGGATCTGGACACCCTCTCTCAGGTGGCACTCAGTCAGTTTGATACAAGTTTGTTCAATAACACATTAGCTTCGCCGGCTGAGCCTTGCCCCCTTACTACAGCAGACGTGATTACACTGGCTACTATGACTATGACTGCGCCTCATAGCTTCGGATTCACTCCAGACCTACCTACACTTGAAGGTGGGTGGATTTTATTTTGCTAGCTCTTTCCCAGCTTTTATTTAGATATGATTCTACCCTCAGCTGTTATATAGCCTCCGATAGTCACTTATCGCCAGTGCCTCTTAGCTGTTAGTCGTACTATACCATCTGCTCTCCCTCTCTTTATTCCATATTTTCGCCTTCTTTGGACTTACTTGGCTTAACCATTCTACATCATGCGACGATTTTACTACGGTGAATTTTCTTAGCTCTTGACCACGTTCTGTTCTTACAATCACATAGATATATTACACTGCCTCTTGTTTATTTTTCGGCTTGCTTCTTCACTTGACTTTATTTCTAAATTCAACGTTCACCCAACCTATTCTGGACTTTATTTTTATTTTTCAATTCATCGGGGTTATTTATTTCATTTCAACTTAAGAATTCAATTCAATTTTTCAAACGCTAGCTCATCACAACATTGTTTGAATGCGTGAGTGTAGTCTGCTATCACTACACGTGGAGTCCCATAGATAGCTAGCTTACAGCTGAAGTCTGTTTACCTCTACTCAATGTCAATGGTGAGCCATCCATACACTTCCTGGCTTCCCATTGCATTGAGAAGACTCACACAAGCGTGCAATACACAGAATGGGTCGGGTGGCATTGTGACGTATTTACGTGCGAACCTATGGGTATCCCCATATCGTACATTTTCCCACCACTCGCTTTGCGTGTGTATAATATTGGCGTGCACTCCCTCTGTGTTTGTCATTCGCCAACGCACCGCACAGCTGATCGGAGTTGTGTCCACGGTTCGCTCATAGAACGCTCTTCGCTATGTCATTTAGTTTTTAATACTCTTTACTACTAGTCGAACTTTGATAGGAAAACTCCAATGTATCGTTTACTTTTTTCGACTAAGATATATTCATGGCATTAAACCTTGCTCGTTCCTTATACTACTTTTGTAATACAGGTCCTATGGAGGATTTTGAATTCAAGCCTCAAGTGACAGAAGGTGGGTTTATCGAGCAGGACCACAACATGAACAACCAGCGGGCTGAGTCTGGCGTGATGAGTGGTTACAACACCGTAGCAATGACAAATGTCCAGCCAGCTCACATGTCTCCTGTTTCTGGAAGCAGCCCTGATAGTTCTCCTACTCCCAATGCCTGGTGGACTCCTGCAACCTGCACCTCAATGTCCAGTGGGATCGGTAGTATCATCACAACATCGAATAGTTTGATCAACGAAGCGGTATCGGCTCAGCCTATCGTATCCTGCGAGACGGCTTGTTTCACACCTAGCTGCACCTCAAGCTTTCAGATCGCCAGCACTCAGGCTGTGATCAACTCTCAGGAACTCTCACCCCAATCCTCCCCGTACACATGTGCCTATACGCATCCAGCCACCTCGCTGGTGCCTTCTACACCCTACGAACAGATCCCCGAGAACTTGTCTGTTCAGCCAACCGCACAGGGCGTTTGTTCACCATTCGAACAAACAGTCAAAGTCGATGGAGTACTCAAATATTCATGGCCATCAGCCCATGACATGAGCTCAGCTTTCGCTCGCCCAGCCGTGACATCGCCGCACCACAATATGAAAATGGGTGGTGTACACCATACAGGACAAAGTACTAGCCCTCAGCCAGCCCAAATATTGCCTTCGAGGACCCAGCAGTTATCCATGGGAAACGCACCCATGATGGTCCACATATCACCAGCAGACATCATCTCACAACCATACCAAACGAACCAGGGTACGGTAGGGAAGACAACATCGAAGCCACGTAAATACACCAGCCGACCTGGCAAGACACCGCCTCATGAGCGCCCCTACGCTTGCCCGTCAGAGAATTGCGACAGACGGTTCTCTCGCTCCGACGAGCTTACGAGGCACATCCGAATCCATACCGGACAGAAACCGTTCCAGTGCCGTATCTGTATGAGGAACTTCAGCCGTAGCGATCATCTCACGACCCACATCCGAACCCATACCGGTGAGAAACCATTCTCCTGCGAGACATGCGGACGAAAATTTGCTCGCAGCGACGAGAGGAAACGACACAGCAAAATTCATCTTCGCCAGAAAGTCAAGAAGGAGGTAGAATCAATGAAAAACCTGAACACTTGTGGATATCAGCAAAGCCCAGCGGCTGCATCTTCTCCACCTATGCCTGTTAGTGCCGCATCTGTGGTTACTACTTCTTAAACATTTCCTTGAACGATCCCGTAACTGTGATCTGTTTTCTGTTGTTTGTTTTTGCACCACCCCTCTGCGAAGACGGTATTGCCTCGTCGTGCGGTTCGACGTCGCCGTTCGGCGCCGGCCGGTAATGGTCGGCCACCGAAGAAGCGGCAGCGATATCTGATGCGAGACGCCTATCATCTTGAACTGGTGAGAGTGAGTAGCACAGTGATGTGCAACTTGATAGTGAATTGACTGACTCTTCGACGTCTTGCACAACTCTGATATCAGTGAAAAATCCATCATTTCATGTTTTTGGTGAGAATTCTTTTGAAATATGTTCACATTCTTGATTGTCGCGCTACAGAGTATACTGCTTCGTCATATTTTGTATGTTTTGATTTTAAATGACTTTTAAACGATAAAAAGTATAAACTGGTTGATCCTAGTTCCATTCAATTTTTACGTGCTAAATTCGATTTGTATTCAGAACAACATTTTTCGGTAACTATATTTGTTTGTATTAAAGATGTTTATTTTATGCTGCGCATAAGATAGCTCATTGTGCAGGGCACACGCATACACTGCTTCCAATATTCAAAATTTAACGTGTATAAGCTGCTGGTCAGTTGTATAGCTCTTTATTTTCAAATACATTTTTACCCAAAAAGTTATTCAAATTTGAAATGTTTTTAACTTACAAATATGTTTCTTTATTCAAATTCTGACACGAAACACTTCCTTTTAAAGCATTCGATTTCAATTTCAACAACCATTCATTGCATTTGAAAAGTCTAGATGACTACATTCATAATTTCTTAACTATTTGCTATACTTCCTATGATAATAATTTACGTAGTATTTGTTGTGGATTTGTGGCCGAATGGCGTTTATTTGAGACCAAAATCTTGCTTGCTACTGCCAATTTAGCAGCCAATATTTATTTCTAATTGAAATTAAGACATTGCTTCAAAATAACAACTCATGTTAAAACTCAGTCAATTTGTTAAAATGCCATTTTCGTTTTTTTAATATGTCTACGCAAAAATTAGTACCTGTATAAATGTTGATATGAGCAAATATCCCGCATGCATCTGAAGACGAAACAAATGCTGCGAGAATTACAATTATTTATGTACCACTTTGTTGATTCCATTATTTTTTGAGTTATTTTTTATATGTCTACATGTTTGTATTTAAGATACAATTTTGTCTCGATATGTTCAATTTAATGGAGCCGTGGTTTTGTAATTTTGTAAAATGTTGAACTCGATACCCAGTTTCAAAGATTTAAAAAAACACAGTAAGATCATCGCTTGTCACTTTGCCAGTGCCTATAACATAAGATCCGTAACTCATCTGGACTAAATAGATACGATTCGGGTGTTGTCTCGTTATCCAGAAAGCGAATATAACATATGAATTAAGTGTGCTCAAATTGTCATTTTTTATATTTTTCGTTAACAAAGACACATTGTAAAATGTCACTTTTTGAATGTCAAATTGATAAAGTAAGCTTTTGAAGCATCGCTTTTAAATGCATTGCACCTGATTATTATTTTGTAGCTGCACAAGAACATACGTGTTTGTCATATTTCAATGTTAAGGTAAATCTGTAACAGTAATATATATATATATATATATGTCTCCGCTGACTACTTTTTATTTATATATTTGTTATTTCTGTTGGACAGCTGTCTTTATTACTACTATGAGATATACAAAATATCACTATTGAGGGTATTGAATCACACTGTTACTCAAGCTCAAGCTTCTAATTCAATTTTTGTGAACAAAGAAAATCGTATGTGCCTATTCATAAAGATGGGAGAAATTCGAAAGAAGACAGTCGTGCATCAGAACTATTTTGCAAAAATATTCAGACGAAATTTATTCCAATAAAATGATCATTTCACTACTATGTTTTCCTAGTCGCCAGGTTTGATGTGTTTATTTTTCGTATTTCATTTCGATTCGCTTTTCTCAAAAGAAAGCCGTTTAGCGTCTGGTGCCTAAGTTGGAATGTTTGTTGTAAAAGATTTCATTTGATTTTACATATGTAAATAGATATCTTTATATTTATACACATCAGAAATTTGTTATATCGTATCTTTGATACTATGCATTAGCAATGTTGCTAATTCATTTCACTATTATTACACAAGTCATCGTTATGTCCTGCAAAAACTGCGCATGTACATACTCGCGATGTCTGTTAAGATGGTATTGTATACCAGGCCTATAATGATGTGAAGGGTGGTATAGAGCTGGAGAAAAAATAATAAAATATTTTTGTCATGAAGTGCACAAAATCAAGAATTTATCCATCTGAAAATGTTGATCATTTCTGTGAAATATTGATGAGTGGAATGATGCAGAGCAGTGTGTGAAAGTTGGAAGTAAAGTGAATAAAGCAGAGAATGGGAGGAGAATGACAACGAGTTTAAGAATTCTAAAATGAGTGAAATTAATGATTATTTCCATGAAACCTTCATGAACTGAATATGTTAGAGTATAGAAGGAAAATGAATGATTGAAGAGAGAAATGCGTGAGCGAATTTCTTTCTTATTCTTCATCTCCTGAGCTTGCAGAAGAATGGTTAAATGTGCTTGGAAACAGTTCCAAAAAAGCTCAGAAAAACCAAAAGTAAAAACTAAATTACTAAGAATGTACTGAAATTTAAAATAAAAAAAACATTTTATTAAGCCCTTTCGATCATCTGGTCAAAATTCCTAGACAACATTTGCAGAAGTGTCTGGTTTGGAATATGTAATGTGGATCATCAACATAATGATTTCAAATAACATTACATTTATTATGAATGTGAAGGAATGGGTTATACATTCAACATGAGTGAATCGCAGGACTTCTTATTCTTCACATAAATTATCAAAACGTGGGAGTATATTCAGACAAAAGTTCATATATCAGACCATAAAGATGGATGGAGAAAAAAGGAAGGAAAAGACAGAAATGACCAAAGCAGATTTGGTTGCGAAAAAACGGTTTCGTGATTACCCTTACATATCCCTCTCAATGATATAGCATGCATGAAATGAAAAGAAGCGTTGGCGTGTGTGTCTCAACGAAGTAAAAAAACAAAACCATGTATTAATGCTTGCTTTCCCTTGTATTATGCAGGCTGAGTTTAAGTTCATGTATAGCGAACATCCCACACTATCGAGTGGGCTGGAGCCGGCGTGAAGAGTCGACCTGAGAGGTATCAACACACCAGCCCTCGCATCCATAAACATATAATAGCAGACAATGTTTGTCCCAATGACACATAAAAGAGCGCACTTGAAATCATATGATCATGTTCCCAATTAGAAGATGACCCTAACTATATACACAAGTGGCAACCGTGCAGTAATGTGACTACACACTGCTATTTCCGTTATCAGATTCAAAGGATAATAATATTATCTTAAAAAGGATCACAAAATGTTCATGTTAGTAGAAGCAAAGAGTTATAATGAAGAAAGTAAGAAAAGAATAGGCTTAATTTCTCTTTAGTTGTGAGAAAGTATAGTTCAAAATAATCATCTTCCTTCAGTTATAGAGTGGGAATAAAAATCTTATTTCAGAATATTTTTCGTCTCGATACTGTAGCTCCCTTCTCCTGCACTATACTGATGGCTGTATGATTATATATACGAAGACATGGCATTGAAATGGGACCAAAGTATGCAACATAGCAAGAATAAGAATTGACAAAAGGAGAAATGACAAAAAAAAGGAGCTGTAAACAATATAATCTGACAACAGATGACAAGTTTTCAACCTCATTTTCCCCTTTTCCTTAGAGAAACAACGGAGATATGTGATAAGTGAAAAGTAACTTGTATGTCACAGTTACTGTTATACCAATGCATAACCTTTGGAAATAAAGAAGAAAATATATGAGAGTATAATGAATGTGTGAATGGATGTGGAAAATATTAGAGAGAATAAAAAAAGATAAAATAATAGATTCTAATATATTCTAATAGATTATACAGTCATGTAGTAGAATAAGACTGTATAACATTTCATTCAACATAAGTTCCTCTAAGATTTTATCAAATACCAATGCCTCTCCAATTATGCGACAGTCGACGATATTCAAAACTGGCTAGAGAGAATCATACTTTTTTTAAAGTTTTGGACAAAACTCAAATATCTATAGAAAAAGAGTCGAAAGTTTTTGCAAATATTTTCGAAAAAAAAAAATCAGCGCAAGGGGGCGATTTTAACACCCTTTTGTATATATATTCCATAGAAGTCATCTTTGGATCATGTTATGCGTCATTGTAATAATGTCCGCGAATTTAGATAGATGAGGAACAGGATTTTTAAAATCGACTTAGGAAGTTTTTGCGATCTTGTGAAATAAGACAAAAGAATTCTTTATAAACCCGACGCTTTCTTTCGGAAATGAATTCTCTTGCAGCAGATTGTCATGTATGGTAAAATATTGCTTTGACGAGACGGATCGAAGCAATCAATTAAAAATATCCGATTTTCAAGCTTATATCATGTATATAAAGTATACCTTATGATTACAACATTGACAAACTAAATGTTAAAGTTGTACTTTCGAATGATACTCTCAGCTCTTAACACGCTTAAGGGCGCGTGAGGATTTACCCTCAATGACCATTTAAAAAAATCGCAAATCTCTCTCTGCTTTACGTAAATCTCTATGTCTCGAGGTATACCTATGGACTATCAAGATGTTTCTCCCCTTCTTAAATTTATCTTCAAAGTAATCCAGCCACTTTATCCGTCTACTTTGTATCACGTTGCAATATTGTGATACAACAAGGCAACTATCGAAAAGTGAGAACATGACAATGGCATATTACGTAATCCAAACATGACTTATGATAGACATTTAACTAGAGCGATACAATGATTATTCAGTTCATGTTCGAATTTGTGATAGTTTTACTTGTGTAATAACTTTAGAATCATTTTATTTGCGTTTAGCTGTCTGAAAATTCCATTAGCGCGGGTTAGAAGAAATATACTTGTGCGATCCGAATTCAATAAGAAACTCGCCATCAGTTTGTGAAATTGTCTAGATTAACACAAAATACATTACAATCCATTCAAATAAACAAAATTAATATCAAGTTAGAAGAGAGTGCATTGCTCAATTTTTGGTAATGATGATGATGATGATTATGATAATATGGCGATGGTGATGATGATGATGATGATTATGATGATATCAAATATCAAGGAATGAGAAAGTGACTTTGCTCTAGCTGTTATAGTTGTTATGTAACAACGTTTTCTTGAACTAAAAGCAAAGCAAAACAAAACAAACAAACCATTCTTTTATTACGAGGATACCAAATACGTGTATATATGTTTATACATGTTCTTACTTATTTGTTTATTGCTGTTTTGAATTTATGTTCAAAATTTTGTTATTAATAAAATTATTTTTATCATATATATATATATATATATATATATATATATATATATTAAACTATAATGTACCTCATTATGTTTAACAGGGCCTCATGGACGACCACCATTATTGGTGATAATGAGTCACCCTGTCTAAATATCAGAAACATATAAATAAATAAATAAATAAATAAATAAATAAATAAATAAATAAATAAATAAATAAATAAATAAATAATGATGATGATGATGATAGTAATGATTTTGGAAATAACAATCATTATGACGGTGATGATAACGATTATTCAAAGCAGTTATATGGCGCTATGATTTTATAAAAACGCTGACAATCCTGTCCTGGGCTCCTGCGCCAATGATAACAGTTCCTATAGCAAAGTCTCATGTACAATGTTAAAGGCACTTTCTGACACCACACGTCAGGGCTCTCTCTTCTTATGATCAAGAGACCCGTAAACGCAGCCCTCTGTCATAGCCACGCGCAGTTTTTATTCTAATCTTGTTTTTAAAGGAATTTGATGTAAAGTTAAGCCTGTGAGATGCTTATACAATAGGAGCTCCGAGAAAATGACTATATTGTTATGATTACAATTTTTAAAATCATTATTGAAGGTTTTTTGGGTAATCATTATCATCACCCTTTTAAGAAAAGGTGAATGTTAAAAAAGACGCATCTGCTATATTAAGGATATATTGACTGCTTTGAGAGGCATAGTGGTTTCTATAGGGTCAAGGGAAACTCACAACCTGCTATGACCCCATGGCGCTTGCGCCTTGGGGTCATAGCAGGTTGTGAGTTTCCCTTGACCCTATAGAAACCACTATGCCTCGAATATTAAAAGCAGTCAATATATATTTTATATACCAAAAAAAAGGAAAATGTTGACTCACCCACGTTTCACAGCCATGGAAAAAGTGCTATGAAAAATGGATATAAACCGGTAGAGCCGGGAAAAATGACTATGAATTTCAATTAGCGGGCATGGTTAAGAACATGACTGCATTTTCAACCAATCAGAAGACAGGATTAGTAAAGAATCTTAAAATGAGGTATATATAACTTTCTATAACTCTAACGAAAGAACTTACTATTTGACACTGTTCATATCCCCCATGCCTATATATATGCTAAGTTTTGTGTTCATATCCAAACGAATTTCGGGAGAATGTATGATCAGAAATATCGCAGCTTTGTCAACTATATATATATCTTTATGTACCGTCTCCCAAAAAACATTAACCTGTGTCAAGCTTAATGATAAACCCAATAATTTAACAATGGAAGTTTTCAGAAATCGAATTCATGATAACATGTATCAATTTTTCTCAGCATCAATTTCTCAGTATAATATCTTCAAAACATGGTTGAAATAGATGTTAAATATATTATTAAACTCGGATTCTCCGAGAATATTATGATTGTGAGAAACAGAATGGTCATTTAAAGCATCAAATCAAAAAGAAATTTGAAAGTGGTTTGATTACGTAACAATATATAAACAAAATGCCCCATACTGCATCATGTGAGAACATTACATGAGAACCTATCCTCCCCCGTTAACATAAAGATGAATGAGTATGTTTGCGCTTTTTCAATTTTCACATACTTAAACAAAACTTGATATGTGGGTATGAATAATTGCGTTGTTAACTGTATACTTTGTAGTGGTTATCTGCGGTTTCGTATGACATGTTATATCCTCCACAGTGACATTCAGAATCTCTACCACTTGATATTGGTTTTACTTTCTATGCAATTAGAAGGATGACTCCGACCTCTTCAATGAATAGCTACTTACTATCACGTGAACACTCTCCCCCCACTCGTTTCCCCATAGAATAAAGTGGGCGAAAATGTATCAGTATAGGTCGGATAATCAGACTTTCTGGTTAGATT